AGGCCCATTAAGAGGGAAATGCACCGCAGCCTATGGGGGACAAAAGCCCTGAGGAAAGAGGATTGGACAGGGTGTGGGTGGCTGTGCCAGGGCCCACCAGAACAGCTCTGAAGGTTCTGATAGAGGCGCCCAGTGATCGGGTACATCAGACTGTTAGCAACACAGTCCGTCAAACACGAGCTGTCTGCCCAGCTGGCAGTGCCCAAGGCCCCTGCAGGGTGGGGAGCCTCTGTGAGACCTCGGGCTACTCCAGCAGTGTGGGAGGAGGGGTGGGGCCTCACAGCTAATCACAACCTCTCTGGGACCCTGTGGCTTCTGCCAGGTGCAGGTCTGTGGGGACATGGGGCTTGGGGGACAGAGGTGCCCCATTATCAGCTGGGTTGCCAGGGCTTGTGAGTTGGCATCAGTTGCCCTTATTTCACCTCAGAGTGGCCCCAAGGGCAAGAAGAGTGACACAGAGAAGGTGCCAGGGAGAGCAAGAAGGCACAGGGGACTGTGGTGCCCATGGACAGGTAGGAAGGAGGCAGCATCTGTGCTTCTGGGGTCTCAGACGGGGGCAGTGCCTGTAGGGTTCCAGAGCTTTTTCATTCACTGCTCATCTCTCCTCTACTCTATTTTTCCCCCCTTTGGTACCAAGGATTGAACTTGGGTCCTTGCACTTTCAAGGCAGGCAGAGCACCACTGAGCTAAATCTCCAGTCCCCTCCTCTATCTACTTTACCTAAACTTTTCCTACATATATGCACTTTGGTTGCTCTTCCTACAACAATTTTGTAATACATTTGTGGGGAAATAAATATATTTAGTCATTTATCATGGTTGATCAGATTTTTTTTTTTTTGTACTGGGAATTGAACACCAGACCTTTACATTGAACTACATGCCCAGCTCTTTCCTTGTCTTTTGTGAAACAGAGTTTGACTAAGATTCCAAGTTTCCCAGAGAGGGCTTGAACTTGCAGTCCTCCTACCTTGGTCTCCCAGAGTGCTCTGACTGCAAAGATGCAGTGCCATTCCAGCTTGTTTTGGTGCTTCTTGTGCATAGCATAGAAAGGGGACGTGTTCATGCTGGGATGCGCAGTGTGCGGGGAAGCCCTGCCTGGGAGGAAGGAGGTACAGCAAGAGAGATGGAAGAAACCTTTGTTTCCCTGGTCTGTGCCATAGGAAGTCACCTCTGCACAGCACGGTGCACGCCACACTTGGGGCATGGCCTCACCTGGGCACCACCAGAAACACTGCTGAGCTGCTCATCCATATAGCAAGACAGAGGAGGCATGTCCTCACCACCCTGTGAAACTACCTCTGTGTAGAGACTGAAAAACACACAGCGACGTGAACTCAAGCAGGAGCCTGGGAAGCTGCCTCACCGGTTGGCCTGGGAGCGTCCACCCCCACTCTTGGGTCCCTTTCTCTGGAAAGCTGTACAAGGCCGTTCTTTAGGAAGACAGAGTGGCTGAGTGAGGAGGTTTGGGGGTCAGGGGAGTGGCATCCAGGTGGGGGCTGCGTGAGCAGCTCTGGGAGAGGACAGCTGCAGATCTCTGGGAGCAGAGAGCCTGTGTGAGGTGCAGAGGGAGGTGATGGCGCCCCCACGCTCAGGTGCTCGTGGAGGAGCTCAGCCACAGATGGCCGGCCACTCGCCACCGTCATGGTGTCAGCGTCTCACAGAGGCTGGCTGAGTTTCCCAGCAGACTCTGAAAGGTTGGTGGGAAGAAAGCCTGCCCTCTGGCTGACTGCCCACTCTCTCTGACACTGGAAGTCCTACAACATACATCAGCAGGAAAGGGAGTGCTAAAAGTCTCCATAAGGAAGGGCAAACTGGAGTCATTTGCCGGAAAATGATGTACCTTGAGACCATAATGCTAGGCAAAATAATCAGACTCACAGCTTCACTATAACATGTGTTCTTTCAAATGCGAATACAAATAAAGAGCAAAGAGCAAAGTACAAGATAGATTATAGGAAACAGGAGAGATATCTTTTGCAGGTGGGAAGGGGACGGAGAGAAGGTAGGAGAGGGAAGGCAGGAGGGGAAGGAGGACACAAAAAGGATCACACTGTGCTGTGCACCATCCCCCACAGCAAGTGAAATAATTATGTACTGCAAACACGTACTAGTAAACAAAATTAAAGAGGTAGATACTTGGTAAATATTTTATTTCTCATTTTGACTTTGATTAATAAAAAGTCAGTGTCTATATTTTAAAAATAAATAAATTCAGTCTATAATTAATGGAGAAAAGAGCCATAAGAATATAATTAAAGTTCCAAAGGGAATCAAAAGATAAACTGAAGAAAATACTGCAAACACACCCTTGCTTGCACACTTATGCACGGAGCAGGTGAGCGTGTTGGGAGGCAATGGGTGTGAAAGCGCAGCTTCTGCAGCAGGGCAGTGGGTGGGTAGATCCAGCAGAAGGCTCCAGGGGAGGCAGCCACCAGCTCTGTTAGCAAGGGTCCAGTGAGGCTCCTGCAGGGGCACAGATGCGGAGGCAGGCGGCACGGGAGGGTGGCTTTCTCTGTGTGTCCCTCTGTGCACCACTGTCCCAAGCAACTGGCTGGTGCAACTTGGAGGTGGGGTGGAGGCTGCCTTTGAGGCCTGGGGTGAGTCCTCCGAGGGGACTCCCACTCCCTGCATGGGGGCTGCCCCACACAGCCTGAGCTGCTCCCTGGGGGGTGACGGTGTGGGTGTGCACTGCACCCTGCACCACACCGCGTGACTCCCATGGCCTTGTGGGAGCTCACTGACTAAGAAGAAGCTGTACCCAGCAAAGCCACACCCTCACTCAGAGTTAGGCAGGATGGTTGTGTGACAGCTTGCTCTGCTGCCTGGGGTCATGCGGGGAGCACACTGTGCTGCGACCTCAGGGCTCTCATGGGCCGGCGCTCAGGCAGCACCAGGCCTCCAAGGTTAGGAATGCTGCACACAGTATCCTCTGGCCACACAAGGCCAGGCCAGGCCTTTACAGACCTCACCCCTTAGCCAGTTGCCATTTGTGTGGAGTCCACAGGAAAGAATAACATTTTTTTCCTCCAACTAATGTGGCAATTTTAGAACTTTTTTAAAATCTCAGGACGTCTTTCATTGGTAAAAAGCATTAAGGACTACACAGAGCTTTTTTTTTTTTTGTATGATTGGTATCTATCAATGTTTACTGAAGCGAACATTAATTAAAAGAAAAACTTAAATTATTTACTAATTAATTTAAAACAATAAAACCAATTATACGTAAGAGAAATTTTAAAAATTGTGAATATTAGATAATATTTTAAAACAAAATTTATCAAGAAGATGGAACTACCATACAGTTTTATAAATCATTTTAGTCTATTATAGTTTTGCTGTCATGTTGAAATATTTGCGGAAGACCCAGAAAGGGGGGATATTTAAATGTTTTGATAATTACTGATATTCTTTTTCAAGACAGTATCAAAACCCAGTGGTAGAGTTTCTTTTTTTTTGGGAAACTGTTTATTTTAAAATTACCTTCCCAACATACCATGAAACATCTGGATGTTACTTTATGGTTTTTCATTGAAAACAAACTACATTGTAAATGGGGTTTAAACATTAAGACATAGAATTGATCAAAATCTGAGGACAAAATTATAAAAGGTCACTACTAAAAATGGATAGGAAAAAGTTCCATTTGATGACTTCATCTAGAGAATGAATAATCATGTCATGCTGGGAGGATACAGGAAGTGATGACCTTGTGCTTTTATTCAACTAAGGTACTTACCCAAACCTTAGGTTTTATACAGGTGTCAAACTCCCACCTGGAAAGGGATAGTTTTCTAAATTATACCTACATTTACTTTAAATAACTGAAGCCCATGGCAGCAGTTTAAAAGAACTTAACAGTCAAATAACTACATAATTTAGTACATTAAAATAAAGCTAAGACAGTGATAACTGAATGTCTTGAAAGTATATAGCTTGGGAAGAAGACCACTGTACACAATTTGGAGACTGTTAAAGTGACCACTCAGAAGGGTGAACAGTGCAAGACATGCTTTTCCAGTTACAAGCTCAAAACAGGAGTGCAAACAAAATTAAAGCTCCGTTTAAAGTCAGGACAAGGGAAGCCTGAAATTAATATTAGAAAGCTTCCCTCAGGTCAGCTCCCAGAAATGAAGTGATCGAATTGCTTTCTCATGGCACGATTTTCTTCGGCAAATTTTTCCTTCAGTGGCAAAAGTAAATCCATAAGTTGGGCCCCCGACTCAGTCACCACATTTGACCCACAAGAACAGTGAGGGGTCAGGACCAGAACTAGCACCCAGAGGCCTGGTCTTGATAGAAGGAGCTTGGGTCTGGGATTCTGCCTCAGCCAGTGTACCAGAACGCTAACAGAGCACAGCTAAGCAATGGGCTTTAATAATCTCTTGTTCCTAGAAAACTGGAGGACAAATGGACTAACAATTCTCCCCTGGAGTCAAGCGGTTGCAATGGAAGATGTAAAGTGCTTAAATCAATAAGACACTGAGAGAGGAGAAGTACAGAGGTTCAAGATCAATGCCAGTACAAGAGCTTTTAAGTGGGTTGACTGGGCAGTGCATGCATCCATACCTGAGAATGTAGAACATGGCCCCAGAGAGAGCTCAAAATGTGGATACCAACTGGATCCGTCCCTTGCCAGTAGCTTATAAAAATATATAGTCAGTACTGTAGAGGCTCCTTCTACAGCCAATACTATGCAAGTCCTTTCAGTTACCCCATTACTCTGATACCAAAAAACTAATTTTCAGACATTCCAGACAAAGGTCACTTATAACCAAAAGTCAACTTCTGTTTTAAAACGAGATAGTGTCCATTTAAAAAGTAGGTTTTTTTTTTCCTCTCAAGTGAACAGGACATTTTCTGTATGAAACAACTTCTAGTCTGTCAAGCCTGGTTTGCTTAAGATCCTAGGTAATGTGCATATATGCAGAAACAAGTAAACTTCAACATTATCTGAACAGAACAAAGTCAATTCCCCAAAACATGGTAGAACAGGTCTGGTCAGTACAAATCTATTGCAAAGGAAGAAGATTCTGTGCGTCAGTTCCACAAGGAGAAGCAGGGAAAGAACACCCCAACCACAAAGTCGTGTTCTAAAGCCTAGAAGCCCCAGGAACATAGTATTATTCCCAGGGTCCTGACAGGCAAAACTGCTCAGGCTCCCGGCTGTGCCCTCTCTGGAGCAAGGCCCACGCTCCCATTTACTTTCGATTCCAAAGCTGCTTCGATTTTCTAAGTGAGTCTATGGTTTCTCCGGCCTTCCTCTGTTTCTGAGGAGACTCCTCACTCTGCCCCGGTCTGGAGGAGCGTCCCACTGCGCTTTCCATGACTTCCCGCAGTTTGCGCTCCAGCTCCGCCAACCGCGCATTCTGTTCACCTATGATCCGGGTCTGCTCGAGCAGTTTCTCGTCCTGGTCTTGAAGCTGTTTCTGCTGTTCCTGCACTTTGGTGCGAAGCTCAGAAATTTCCCACCTGAGAACAGTCATGCCAGCAGCATTGGTCTTAACTTGCTGCTGGAGTTTAGTAACCTCTTGTCTTGAAGGGGTTTTACTTCGAGAAGAGCTGCATTGTCGTTAGGGCTGCTGATGGTCTGGCACCGGAAGAGAGCCCATGAGCCTTCCAGACACGTCTGATCCTGGCAGTTGCCTCTTCAGAATTGGAATGATCTCATCAAAGTACTCCACGGCCATGGAGGAGATATCCCTTAACTCCTGGAGGGCTTCATGAGCTCGCGGTGGGGCTCTGGTAGAATTGACATATCTCAACACCCTGTAAATCTCATCATTCACCTTTCCTGGGATGAAGCAACAAAGATTGGAATCCATATACTTCATAAAAGTCATGTTTAACATTGACAGCCTTGTTTCCACAGCAGCAAGGATGTCTGCATGGCGAACTAAAGAATGGTTTCTCCTTTCTGATTCTCTCCTCGGGAGCTGTGCTTTCACTTGCTTCTGACACAGGTTATGGTACCTCTCCACTTTCAGAAACCCCTGATTCAACATTCTCTGGCAAACTAAGTCCATTCTTTTACAAACCAGGCGCAGCTGGCTAATTTTGTTGTAGGACATAAAGCTGAGGATGTTCACGATGGCTGCGATGGGCAGCACCACCAGTGTGTTGTTCTGAGGCAGCTGGTCCGAACCAGGGCTGGCGCCAGGGGTGCCTGGGACCCCGCTGCAGGGGCTGGGCGGGGGGGCGGGCGGCTGTCGCTGGGCAGAACCAGCTGCCGAACAAGAGCCTTCGTCACCGTGGCTGCCACTTCCGTCCTCAGCCATTCCGCTCTTCTGACGCCTCCACCATCTTGGGACCTTCCGTAGTAGTTTCTCAAGGGTTAGTTGCAATGTGAATTTGTGAAACTGTGTGTATTCAATTTTCATACTCCGTTACAATTAATATCCATTGTTCTGTTTTATAGCTTTTAATAGGTGCTTTATCCATACATGGTTTGTAGCAAAATACACCAGCTATTTGGAAAATACTAGATTCTCAAGTTATGAAAATTCGTGGACACATTTAATTATACCCCCAATCACACGGTGCTATCCCTGCTGATCTATCTCATCAGAGTGGTTATCAATTATTGGAAAACTGTCAAGTTTGTGGCAGCAGGTGAAAAGTGCCCAAAATTCTTGTTTTCATTTAAAAAGTTGAATTCTCTCATTGGCACCTAGTCCCATTATCTCCTGGGAAAGGTCAGGCTGAGAGTGCATTTGCAGAATGTCAGCTTGACACCCATGGGTGCATACAGCATGTTTGTCTGTCCGTCACTAGGGCGAAGGCAGTGTTCAGGGGCGAGGGCTGGCCTGGTCCAGACTTAGCATGGGTATTTTCCCTGGAGCTGACGAGGACTGGCCCAGCTCAGTGCTTCTCACTTAATTTGTGTTTCATCACATAGAACATTAAAGGCCACATATGAATGAGTCAAGATTTTCAAGGAAGCAAAAAAAGCAGGTCTTCAAAATGGACAAATACCCTGGACAGATTTTTCTCCAAGGAAGACACTGACAGCCACCAGAGATTTGGAAAAGTGCTCAACATACAGATTTCCAGGGAAATGCAAATCAGAAGTACATACTGGTTAGGAAGGCCATCGTCAAACACATGGAAAATAGCCAGTGTCATCTAGGGTGTGGAGAAAGGGAAACCTCATGTACCATAGATGGGAATGTAAATTGCTGTGAATTGTTATGACCATTAGGAAAAACATGATGGGGTTTCCTTATAACGTACGAGTCACACTGCTGTGTGATCCAGCTTTTGGGCATATGTTCATGTGAACTGAAGCCAGAGTCTCAAAGAACTATCTACAGTTCCCATTCATTATTACCTGGTTCACAGTAGCCAAGATGTGGAAATAAATAATTTCTATCCATGGATAAACGAGGAAATATATGTGGTACTTACATACAACGGTGTATTTTTCAACCTTAAAAAGAAGGAAGTCCTGTTGTTTGGGGCAACCTGACCTGGAGGACCTTGTGCAAGGTGAAATACCCAGGGACAGGAAGACAAAGGCCACACTGTCCCCCTGACGGGCCGAGTGAGCCTTGCAGCAGCAGGGTGGACTGTGCTCCCCGTCGGGGAGTAGGTGGGGACAGCGGAGGGTGGTGGAGCCCTTGCACGTGACAGGTGCACTCACGCCTCCACTGTGGCCGGGGCTTCCCGGGTGTGTGCCAGGCCCGAGCCCATCAAGATGTGCACGTGCAGGACTGTAGCTTTTCATGTGCAGTCGCTGTGCAGTAAAGGGCTTTTAGAAAGAGTTAATAAAATTAATAATTTTCACCACCTCAGAGAGTGATTTACGTGTATGTGCATTCGCTCCTGTGCGCTGGTGTGGCGCGCAGTGGCTGATTAAGAAGCTGCATGGCGGTGGCCTGGCCAGCCCCAGTGATCGCTGGCTGTCAGCGCCGACATCACCGTCCTAGTCTTAGTTTTGGGATTCCGCTTCAGTCACTGGGTCACACTCCCTAGCCCCCTTTATCTGTTGTTCAGATCGCCACACTCCTGCCGCAGCACCCCAGCACCGCAGCTAGTCCCCTCTGGCCCTTCTGTCTTCCCTCCTCCCGCAGACTGGCCTCCTCCGCTGTGTCGCACATCCTGTGCCTATCGCCCGCCCCCTCGTGGTGGGACGCGGAACTGCGAGCCATGGGGACCTTCTGTGCCCTTTGATCCTGTGTTTCAGCCCCCAAAAGGGAGGTGGTATCGCACTGTCCTCTTCTGTCTCTCTTCCCCGCATTTTAGTTCTGTTGGTCTTTTCTTGGAATGGAATTTATTTGGGGTGAAATGCAACATTTTCTCCTTGGGAGATTCATTGATGCTTACTTTAGTGTCAGCCGATGCCTGCTGAAGTGTTTTCTCTGATGACGGACAGCAGAAGGTCTGGATGCATCCACCCGCTCGCAGAGCTTCTGCTGTCCTTGTTCAGCTCTCCTTCATGCTGGTGATAGACGGGGAACTCATCGAACGCAGCTGCCAAACCGGAAGGAGCAATTCTTGCCTTCCTGTGGGCACAGCAGATCCCAGAGTGAGACAGGCATTTGGTGAATGGGACTTATTCTTATACTTTTCTTTCTTCATTTTATTTTTTGTGGCACTTGGGAGTGAACACAATGCTTTACATTGAGTGACCCCAGGCCATTTTATTTTGATTTTTAAGGCAGGGTCTTTTTAAGTCACTAAGCTGTGCAGGTGGGACTCAGACTTCAGTCCTCCTACCTAAGCCTTCAAGAGTGCCAAGATTACAAGCTAGTGCTGTCCTGTCCAGCTATTTTCTTTAGTATCTATTCTTCATCGACATCTGTACAAATAAAGGTAAAAAGGCAGTGATAAAATAGGAAAGGGAAGGCAATGTTCCACGTCTCTGTGAGCACTAGGTCCTGCACTGGGCTCTCACCATGTCACTGCGAACCTGAGGGCTCGCGCCAGTGGCCCCATCCTCGGGATGGACTGGAGTCCAGCCCTGCTTCTGTGCTTTTCCCTGTCACAAACAAGAGCCCACACGTGTGCCCGAGATCCGCCGGGCACAGCTCTCCTGGGCCGGTTCTGTTGCAGCGATGGGAGACAAGGGTGGCCGGGGTGGAGACCCGGGGTCCCCACTGTGTCATGGGTGCTGGGATGGAGTGGATCAGAGGCAGCAGCTGGGAGTCTGAGCCATGCAACATTTCAGTGACAGAGCCGTCTTCTACGTGAGAGCCTCGGGAGGATCGGTGGATGAGCAGTGCGGCTGCTGTGGAGGGCACCTAGGGAGCACAGGTTGTGAACCTGTGATAACAAAGCCCGGCAAATTTCTCATCAAATTCTCCTAAACTACATCATCTCAGTCTTCAGTGCATATGGGTTTGATACTGGGGATTGAACACAGGGTCTTGGCGCAGAGCTACATCCTCAGCCCTTTTTTATTTTTCATTTTGAGATAGCGTCTCACTGCCCAGACTGGGCTCAGCTTTGTGATTCTTCTGCCTCAGTCTCCCACCGCGCTGGGACTACAGGCCTGTGTCACCATGTCTGGCCTATCAGTGGCTTTATTATCCTTATGATATAAATTAATCACATTATCTTCACTGCACGTGTTGAGTGCCTGCAGTCACCAAGACTTCCAGGGTTGAGTGTGGTCTCCAGCCTGTGTGTCACGGCCTTCTCACTGTTCTGCCAGTGCAGGTGTTTTTTGAAAGAAGAAAGCTGAAATGTTGGGAGGCTGGACAGTTGTGTGCCAGAGCAACAGAGGGCATGAAAGCCATTAAAATCAGGCGTCGGTGGGAGCCGGGAGGCTACATGGAACTGTCTCCATCCTCCAAGCACTGAGGGGTCCCCTCCCCTCGGTGCAGTCTCATCTCCGTCACATCTTGCTGTGCATGTGTCTCGTGTCACAGCTTGCTGCAGGAGGCCATAGGCTGCTGTGAGGTTGTGGCTCCTCCTCCCAGCGGCACAGTGAGTGGCTGTGGCATCTGCTGTTGGCCTATCTTGCGGCTGCCCCTCTGGACAGAGCCACCTGGCCCTCCTGTCACCTTGCCTGACAAGTCTGGCCACAGCCTCTGCCTGATCCAGATTCCCAGCTGGAAGCCTGAGCCCAGTCTAGCACCAGCCCGGAGGCCACAGCTTGGCACGGTCCAGGCAGGCATTTGGCTGGCCACTTCCAGTACCTGCCCAGCTCCTCCAGCCCCACCTAGACCACAGTGCCGGAGTGTGAGGGACAGGGAGGAGGAAGTGCCCAGGGTGTCCACGTTCTCATTTTCTCCTCATTTTTGGCTTCCTGCTGTGCTGTCATGAGCTGCTGTCACTTTTCACCACATTCCAAGATGGAATTCACAGAGCTCTCGTGGACCTGAGCTTCTCCCCACTTCTGGGAAGGGGATCTCATTTCATAGAGTCCTGGTTTGCCTTTGGGGGCCTTAGGGTCCAGGCAGCTGTTGGAGCACCCTCAGTGCTACATCATAAATATGTACATGCATACATAAAGTCAGGCAAAATAAACCACATTCTGTTTTAGAAATGCATTCTTAGAAAGCATTTCTTACAAACCTATATCTTAAAAATAGGACAGTGAATCCACAGATTCAGGGTAGGGTTATAGAAAGCTGCAGGCGATGTGTTAGGCGACATGGAAGTAATCAGTAATGTTATTTGTAAATTTGGGGGGTCAGAAAAGTAGGCGAGGGTAGGATATCTATATTAGTCACTTTCTTGTCTTTGGGACAAAGTGCCCCCACTACCCACAACTTAAAGGAGGAGAGGTTCATTTTGGTTTTCAGAGGGTCCAATCCATGGTATGCTGGTTGCAAGGTAGAAACATCATGGTGAAAGGACCTGGTAGAAGACACCTGCTCACCTCATGGTGACCAGGAAGCAGAGAGGAAGGAGGAGCTGGGAAAAAAGTACTACACACCCTTCCAGGTCACATGCCAGTGACCACCTCCAGCCAGGTCCCAGCTACTAATAGCACAGTGAGCTTCTAGCCTCTCCACAGATGAATCACTGAGGAGCACAGCGCCTTCTGATCCCATCACTTCCCATACACAGGGTGGTGGACACTGTAGAACTAAAGCATGACAATATCATGTTTGTCCCCCTAATGAGGCTGTGGGCACAGGGGCATGGTGGGCTCTGGGTACCGAGGGCACAGGAGCACCTGCGGACAGAGGGCTGGGACCTGAGCAGAGGCTGCTGTAGGGTGCTGGTGCTGACCTGCGGGCTAAGCAGGGCGGCTGTGGCTTGATGTGGGGTTCACACACGCTGTCCCCATTGGCAAACCCCAGCATGTGTCAGAACCCAAGCCGGG